GAGCTGAGAGTTTTGGGTTTACAGTCTTGGTTAAATGTAGCTGAAACTAAAATGGGGTTTGGGCTATATTGTACTATAAATTACAATAAGGCACCCCCCAACGCCGTATTCTAGTTATTAAGGCCCCTACATTATACAGACTTGCATCTGGGTGTCCTGGTCTTCTGAAGCTCGCAGAACCTCTCATCTTCTCGTTCACAGCTTGAGTTTAGGTCTATAGTAGGGATCTGTGGCTTGTTCTTTGCCTCAACTTCAAACATGTGATATGCCGGCACCCCTGTGTCGCAAGCCCTGTTGTGCGCAGCTGCAGAAGCCTCAAATCCGAGGGCAAGAAGCACCCGTCCTACAACTGCAATGCTACAGATGTATGCTATGCCTTTGAACCGGATTATGCCCCTCGGGCGGCAGAAATCTGCTGGGATGTTGGGATTCAGGATGTCAGATTATTTGGCGCTCAACGACCACGTCATACTAACATGTCAGCCTAATCGACCGCTTACCCTAAAGTCGTAAACCCTATAACCTTAGATAGTGAACCGGGGAACTTTAAGCTTTTGGGTCTTATATTAGCTCTATCGTAGAAAGTTTGAACTTTTTGGGGCCCGGTTGTTGAAGAAGAGAGTAATTTTTGCATCAGCAACCCTAAGGGTCCATAAATCCATATGAGTATACATTGACCCTAAAGTACCTATACAGGGACTACTTTAAGGCCAAAGTATCTACTATTTGGGTACATGGACCCTTAGGGCTATAACCTTGAATCAGCAAGGGCAATTCTGCACACCATAATCTTAATTTGGATCCCTTTTAGGATGCCTAAAACTGTGCTTAGCATCCGTTTCAGGGTACATACAACTCTACTTAGCATCCCTTTTACGGTACCTATACCTCCACTCGTTACCCACTTACTAAGCCCCCCGACCCCCCCAAGTAGCTTTCGAGATCCTCGTGGCAATGCGGACAGTGCTGCTGATGGCTCTGAGCCCTACTATAGGGGCCTGAACCATTAGAATGGGGTTTCGGGGCCCCTTCTACTATAATAGTTATAATAAGGAACCCCCGAGCTAGTCTAGGTAATTATTGAGGCCCCTATATATAGTAATCGCCTCAACCCCCCCTTCCCTCCCAGTCCGAAGCACGTGCTAAAGCCCTCCAAATCATATCCACAACAACGCACTCCCGTGGCAGGTGTATATAGTTGTCTGTTGCTCCTGGGCTTGTGGTCCCTTTCATAAGGATCTCCAAAACATGTTTCGCTTACCATCTCGAAGGAGTAAAGTTTGCTACTATTTGCTTAAGAAACCACCAAAAATAATAATCCCTATATTACCCCCCATAAGGAACATATTTTTTTTTTTTATTTTTTGTGGGTTCTTAAGCAAATAGTAGTTTGTGATATCAACTTAGACTAGAACACTGAAACCTCAAATTCCAACTCTGGATCCCCACCCAGAGACTCCAATATCCCTCAATTAAGAATTAAGGAATATACTTTGAATTATATTTCGGATCCTACTAGAATTTAAGGTATATTTCCGGTTAAGGGATATTGGAGTCTCTGGGCACTGTGATACAATCTGTCAGCCTGTAATCATAGTTCTAACTGTTGACTGCTGAACCTGTCAAGCTGTCGGGCCACAGATGTGTATTTCGCAAATCTTCGTTTCAGGGGCCCAGTCACACTGGACATCTGGTAGTAGGCACGGTTTAGAGTTTAGGGTTTTCGATCCTAGATCCCTACCTTAAAGCCGATTCTCCTGACACCCTAGACTCTTAACCGTGTTCGGCTGTTGGTTCGGGCCTTCTTGTTTTTGCCCTGAGGGTTCATGTACCCATATAGCATATACTTTGGGGCCCATTGTATCTATATAGGGAGTACTTTAAGGCCAATGTATATACTACATGAGTACATGGACCCTTGGGGTTGCTAAGCAGCTTCAGCAAACTCTTTGAAAGTTAGCAGGATGAGTAACTACGCATGACTATTCAGCTTTCCTCCTTTACTCCGAAGGAACCCTGACAGAACCCCTCACCCACCACGCGACACCCTTAAAGACATTTCTGATCTTTTCTGGTAATCGTAGTAATCGCAGAAACGTCCCTGTCATGCCCGTGCAACAGAGTAAATCTGACAATGCCCCCCTCGCGCCCACCCGAAACCCTTAAAGATCACAAGAGGAATGGTAGTAATCGTCGTAATGTCCCTATTATGCCCTTATGCCTGTGCAACCTCGCGCCGAGAATTGCCTCTCACTGGCCGGCAGCTTCGATCTCAGGGTATCCAGCATCGACGATGTGCAGGGCGCCTTGCCAGAGAAAAGAGCGGAGGTCATTCAGATTTGAGACCGCGCCGGTCTTCTTGGGTTTCCTTTTTGTAGCCGAATAGTAGGAGAGAGGGTACCCTTGTTGCAAGTATACCGAATAACTACAAAACTCCACCACATATGAACCTACATAGCTGCTATCCCAAACCCAAGTACCTCATTTTAAGGGGCCTTTGGACCTTTGGGGTGTACCGTAAATGATAAAGGGCTACTCAGGAACCTCGTAGAGGTCAGGGAATTCGGAGCGCGGGGGAAGGCAGCCCACAGTTGAGAGTTCAGTAATAGTTGAACAGTATTCCTACAAAAAGATACATTAGGACCTTAAAGGTAGCCCTATTATAGACTCTTACTGTAAGGGGGCAGTACCAAAGGTCTCTGGTTTAGGGCAGTTTAGGGTTTAGGGTGGGGTTTAGGGTCTGAGCTGTAAAGTATATACACAGGCTTACGGTACCTATATAGGAACGCCTCTGAAGAATAAGCATGTACTACAAACCCTAAACCCTCAACCCTTTTGCTCATGGAGCCGCAATGGGTTGATCCTAAACCAAGGCGACGGCGAGTTGTTCGCCGCCGGCTTAAAGAGACCCGTTTGCACGAGGAGTCCTAAGTGATTTCGTTGGCTCTTGATGCCTCCATTGCACCACTTTGCATCGGAGACGATAGGGTATGCCTCGCTAATTTTATGGGCAAGGATTTGGGACTGAGGGCTTGTTGGGGCAGGCTTCACAGCATTTCTGCTAGAGCTACCAATGTCATTGCTACCTGCTACAACTTACGACCTCGGAGACGAGCTACGTTAACCCTCAATCCAGAACCTGCATTCTGGTAGATCCTGGTCTAAGCGCCACCCGTCCTGCCGCTGTCACCGCGACGGCGACGATCGGCAACGTACGGGTCAGGGTGTCAGTGCTGGGCACCTTTTCTGCAACTGACGGGACGAAGAAACTACCGTCCAATGTAGCCCAAAGGGTCCAAAATAAATGTATGGGGGATAAATGCCCAAACCTCAGGAAGGGCGTTGTGTCCGTGGCGGGAGTCAGCGAGGATGACGTGCAACTTGCTTGCTCAGACTAAAACAACCGGGGGCCAAGCTCATATTTAGAGCCATAGGGTTCGTTATAGTGGTTCCTACCAGGTTTCTACAAGGGGACGATCTAGAAGGGAACTATTATGCTTCTAGGGTTCAAGACTTGAAGGCGTGAGGTTTGAGAGTTTTGTGACATATTTCCCTCCTTCTGGTTGACTCTCAGGGAGCTATGATCTAGAGTAGGCCCTTATTCCCTGTTTTTAGGGTTTAGGTTCCCTCATAACCCCCTTTTAAACCAAAAAAGGGCGCCCTTTTTATTCCTAGGTTACTCTTGGGTCTAGGGAGCATACATCATGACGAAAAGGGCTGCTCTTCAAACAACAGGAGTCCTGGAGCGGGTGAAATCGTGCCTTGAGCGTTCACTGGTAGTTCTTCGCCCCATTTACGGTATGGCTACATGGCCGTACCTACCTTGCCCTACTCCTAACCGTGCTTGGAGGGTCGGAGGACATAATAGGTAGTTAATTTCACAGACTTATAACAGTCTGCTCAATGCCCACTTACTAAGTCCCCCGACCTTCCGGGTCGTTTGAACCCGCGCCTTCCTCTACTCTCCCATATGGTTGTTGTTTCGCTTAGCCAGCTTATGGGCAGGATGCAAGCAGAAGAAACTCAAACCATGTAATTGCCACTCGGGGTTTTGTATGTTTTGTGCTGTATACATACATACGTACATACATACATACAAACACACATGCACACTAGTATACTAGCACATACGTACATACATAAATCCATGCATCCGTCCATCCATCCATACATACATGCATACAAACCTGCCTACCTACCTAACTACCTACCTACCTAACTGGACCTATCTACATACACAATCATACACACACGTACATCCATGCATGCACGCATGCGTGCATGCAGACAGACGGACATATATATATATATATATATATATGTATATGTATGTATGTGTATATATATATATATATGTATGTATGTATGTATGTATGTATGTTTATATATATATATATATATATATATCTCACATTTCTCACATTTGGGGCGTAGAGTCTGGTGCGAAGGGGCCCGTTTTGGGATGCACCAAATTAAGTTGCGGCGTGCGGACCAGAAATCTGACTGTAACCAGTGTGGACTCGCACGAGGAAACGGGATTGAGACAGCAAAGGAAAAGCTGTCCCGCTCCTTCGACAAAATCAAAACAATGGCGCATAGACGATTCTTGCAAATGCACGGCAAGCAAATGGTGCTTGGTATTCCGTAATCGGCGATCAAAGCACCAAACATGATACGATCCGCATATCGGACCGTAAGAGGTGCAGGATCTTCCTCATGGGTATCAGATGAGGCCATTCCTACACGGTTACAATACCCAGGATGTCTAACACCTTCATCGAGGTGATATCGGGACATCAAACTCACCCTAGTGTGAAGGCCATAAGACCTCCGCACACAAATCTAAAGCGCTCCAGCATCACTCACTTATAAAACCAGGAACTGCTAAGTCAGGATGGCGGAATCAGCGTCATTAGATCGAAGGCCTGACGAGCCTCTGTTCTGCTTGATGGCACGCTGCTGGAAAGCCAACGTCTTCACGCATCCAGCCGCAAATTCCTTTACCGACGTATGCGAGCGTGTCCTCCAACCCTTGTGGTGATCCAGATGCCCTCGCCTGACGAGCCTTTGCTCTGCTTGATGCCGCGCAGCTGAAAAGCCGGCGTCTTCTTGAAGCCAGCCGCCACGGTGAAGTGTGCGAGCGTGTCCTCCAAACCATCTCCACACCTATGTTCAACATGGCCACCTTGCACAGCATGTCCTTCGAGCCCATAAAGACCATCACATCGGGTGAAGTGTATGAACGGCCAGGTTGCCGCTGGTCCAGATGCCCTCGTGTGACGAGCCTCTGCTCTGTTTGATGGCCGTGCGGCTGGAAAGCCAGCGACTTCTTGAAGCCAGTCGCAAACTCCTTTATGGTGAACGGTGCGAGCTTGTCCTCCCAGCCAGTGTTCAATATGGCCACTCTGCACAGCATGTCCTTCGAACCCATAAACACCATCACAACAGGTGAAGGGCATGAGCTGCCGGGTTGCCGCTTCTCGCATGACGAGCCTCTGTTCTGCTTGATGCCGCGCAGCTGAAAAATCGGCCTCTTCTTGAAGCCCGTCGCAAACTCATCTGCTGTGTAGTCTGTGAGCATGTCCTCCGAACGCATGCTCAACAAAGTCTCCTTACACAGTGTGTCTTTTGCGTCCATGATCGCCATCATGTCGGGTGAGGGCATAACCTGAACGCCCAGCTTGTGCATGGCACACTTGCCGCTATGCACTGCTTGCCCGTAGCCGGCAGACGCACTATATATATATATATATATATATATATATATTATGTATGTATATATATATATATATACATAATATACATAATATATATATATATATATGTGTGTGTATATATATATATACACATAATATATATGTATATATATATATATATATATATTTATACACACACGCACATCCATCCATCCGTCCATCCATCCATCCATCCCTCCGTCCATCCGTCCACCCGTCCACCCGTCCACCCATCCATCCATCCATCCATGCATGCATACATACATGTGCATACATACATACATACATACATATATATATATACACACATGTATGCATGTCTGTGTGTGTGTGTATGTATGTATGTATGATGTATGTATGTATGTATGTATGTATTGTATGTATGTATGTCTGTCTGTATGTATATGTATGTATGTATAGACGTATATACATATGTGCGTATGTATATGCGCATGATGCATCTATACATATGTATATGTGTCAATCCTGTATGTACGTACATGCTTGCATGCATACATACAGACAGACATATAAGAAACAAAGAAAATCAACAAGGATTATGTATATGTGTATGTATATATGCATAGGTGCATGTATCAGGGCTCCATTGCTCACGGTTTTTGAATGAGGGAGCCCCGGTCAATTTTCGGGGCTTGGGGTTGAGCGATTTAGGGATTACGGTTTAGGGTTACTGGCCTTAACTTGAGGTTGGACGCCACAAGATCCGAACTTTAGATGCTCCACGGTGCACCTTGAGCCCTCAACTCTAACCTCTTCAGCCCTAAACACCAACCTTGCGCCTTACCCAGACCCCCGGGAGGATCCAACAAGTAGATCCCTTAATGGGGGTTCCTATAAAGTACCCTGAGTAGTATAGGGCCCCAAATTTCGGGATCTACTTTCTAGATCCTCCCGGCTGTCTGGGTAAACACTTTGCTGTCGGGGCCCTCGGCAGGGCTTCGACAGGTTGTGGGAGCCTTGGGGAAGCCTCTCCATGTGGTCACGACTTGAAACTCTAGTGTTTGGGGTTTGGGGGGTTTAGGGTTTGGGGGGTTTTGGGGTTTGGGGGTTTTAGGGTTTGCGGGTTTTAGGGTTTAGGGTTTGGGGGTTTTGGGGTTTTAGGGTGTAGGATGTAGGGATTAAGCAGGGTCTCGGTTTCAAGGTTTCGGATTCAGGATGAAGTTGGGCTAGAGCTGAAAGGGGGTTTAGGGTTTCACCACCCCATCCTACCTCACCCTCCTTTTCTGCAGGGTCCCAATAAACTCCATATTAGGGTTCACCATAAGAACCTACAAAGAAGTAGGATTTGGTAGGTTAAGGTAGAGGTGCAGGGTCCGCTGCAAAGTGTTCCGACACGCATGCTGCGTGCCTTTTTTCGGCTGTTAAGTGATGGGGCTTCGGTGTTATTTGATTTGCTTCGAGCTGTTATAATTAGGCGGTGGGCCTTAGGGTGTGCATTTTTCGGGCTCGGCGTGTGCAGCTCCAGGGCTTTGGTTGGAGATGAGAAGCACTTGAACTTCTACAGGTTACAGGCTGTAGCAGTAGCAGCGTAAGCGCGTCACATTTAGTCTTTGTAGAAGATGGTATGTATACTTTGTAATCGTGTTAGGCGTCGTCCCCATTTCGGTATAGGTATGCTTTAAGTCAATCCACGTCGACTGAGCATTAGGAGGATAGTAAGACTAAGAAGGCAATCAGTAGACTTATACGAACCCGAAAAGGGGGTTATGGTACATACCTAGAGGGTCATGCCTGACCCCTTTCTTAGGGTACTTAGTTTTATGGTTAGGATCTCCTGTATAGCAAAGTAGGTACCATAAAAAACGGGGTAGGGTATGAGCCTATAGGTATAGGTCCATAAAACATCTAGTCACGAAGTCGCCCGACCCTCCAAGTATTCTGCGCCCGTCACTGAACTCAATGGTCCGCTGGGGGGTGCAGGCTCGTGTGTGCATCTACCAATGGCAAAGTCCGAAACATGTGAGGCAGAGTCTAGGTTGTGGGATCATACGATTGATGATATGAATCCTGCATTGCCCATAATAAGGAATCTACCATAATTTCCATAGTTTAGGGTCCTCAAGGTAATGCAGGATTTATGTCATCAACTGTAGTGTTAGGAAAGTTCAGCTCAATGGTCGAACTAATGTGAACAGAAAGGTTATTAGGTTTGGAGCTAGGGTCTGGCGTTTACAGCTACCCACTGCGGTGCATGAAACCTAAAGCCTGAACGGCGGAACGGAACCCCTAAACCCCACAGTGCCACGCGGCTGAGGCAGCTCTCGGACAGCCTCAACATCTTACCCCAACCTGACCCTTATGGCGGCGGAGGCTACTGGGTTCTGGAGTACCGTACTTCGACATTTTTCGGTTCTGTCCATCTGTTTCTTATGAAGTCAAATTTTACACTTGCTTCGCCCTGGTTTCTTCAAAGCCCAGGCTATGGCTTTTTCCGACGACTCAACGCAGTGGCAGGTGAACAATTTGTGGTGATCCTCGGCGACGGATCAAGAATCTTGAACCCCCCTCTCTCATCCCGACACTCGAGAGGTTTGGGGTTTAGGTTTCAGGGTTTATGGGTTTAGGGTTTCAGTGTTTAGGGGTTTATATAGGGGTTTAGGGTTTCAGGGTTTAGGGGTTTGGGGTTTAGGGATCCCTAAACCCGAAACTGTGGCGATATCTTGTTTGCGTCGTGCGGGCTCCGCCCTAGACTTAAACTCTGAGCCTTGGCGTGCAGGTCATCAACTCTAGACCCTAAACGCTCTAAATGGGAGTTTCCGAAAAGTAGGGGTACCTCATTTTGGGATCCTTATAATCAGGATCCTACTATTTAGGGTACTATATTAGGGTCCCCTATTTTCGGAAACTCCCAATTCGCAAGGCACCTGTTGCCGGAGCCTGTAATGAGAAATACTTTTTCTTGGGGCTCCTTCTTTCTATTGGTATCAGAGAACATACCACGAACCCCTGTTCTGATAATATATTGAGGACCGTATATTATTCAGCATTCCACACACATGGAGGGCGACATTTCCGGCTTACAGAGCCAAATAACCTTGCACGTAAATAGCTTTAGAGGGGTTGAAGGGCTATGACGAGGGCTGTTGACAGGTAATAGGGTTTCTGTAATGTCCTTGCCGAAGGTCTAACCCCTAAGCTCTAGGGTTTAGTTTGCATCATTGTGTTTGGAGGTTAGGGCTCAGTAAGGGTTTACAACGCATTCCCTGAACCAAGGCCCATTAATCTATTTGTGTTGTCTGAGGCGTTCATTTTCACACCAGGGTATCTTCATAGTTTGACTTGTGCATAATAGATACATACAGATAGGCATTTATACACAGATAATATCGCTGTTGAGATTCATAAAGATTACTGAAGTGGTGGGTCTAGAAAATCAGAGCCTGCAGCTGTTTCGCATTCATGAAACTGACCAGGCTGGTCCCTAAATTAAGACCCTACTTGGAGGGTCGGGGGACTTAGTAACTAGTTACTTTAGAGACTTATACGTACCATAACCCCAATTAGGATCCCTTTTGGGTACCTATATATACTTATTAGCCACTTACTAAGTTCCCGACACTTCAAGTAGGCCCTAAACCGCAACAGGGTTTAGGGTCGATGGGAGAGGTTTTAGGGTCGACGGTTCCGGAACAGGGTTTGGGCTTCAGGATTTAGGGTTTAGGGTTTAGGGTTTAGGGGTTTAGGGGTTTAGGGTTTAGGGTTTAGGGTTTAGGGGTTTAGGGTTTAGGGTTTAGGGGTTTAGGGGTTTAGGGTTTAGGGGTTTAGGGTTTAGGAATTCGGATGATCAGGGTTTTGGCCAGGTTCAGCATCCAACAAACCGTGCCAGGAACCCCCAAGTGCCCTTTCTAGTGGAGTCACTATGGTCCTTAATATTTCTTACTAGTGGGTGGTTGGTCTAGGGCATCATGCAAGGTAGTCGGGGGCCCTAGGGTAACCGAGGTTGGCTAGAAAAAGCACAAATATGCGTCATGTTGGGGTCATCTCTTTTAAGGGTACAAGTTGTCATTGTAGGTAAACCCCAACAGCGCCCGAAAGCCCAAACCTTTAAGTTGAGCTTCTCGGTCCTTCGACACTGACCAGGCTCTTGAGTCAGGGTTGTCCTGCGCATGCAGAGGTCGCCTACTTGGAGGTTTATGGGTTGTTGTTTGTGGGGTTGAGAGTTCCCTACAATGAGGTTTATAGCAATCCTACTTATAACCCCACTTGTAACCACCCATGAACCTCCCAGTTTTTCAGAAATACACCGATCGGTTAAGGAGACAGCCTGTTTTCCTTGAAATTGTTTAGGGCGGGCTTAGTTTATTACACAGACAACCCTGTCCAACATCTCAAAGACCCTCAAGCCCCAATCGCAACAACCGCTGTAGCATTGCAGCTTTGCAGCAAGCTCCCCTTCCGTGAACGTTTGCTGCCTTGCAACAATGACCATACTTGGAGGGTCGGGGGACTTAGTAAGTAGGTAGTACGTAGACTTATAAGTCCCCTAAAAGGGACCCTAATTGGGGTTATGGTACTTATAAGTCCCGAAAATAACCAGTTACTAAGTCCCCCGACCCTCCAAGTAAACTCCGACCACCCCCATTCCCGTTGAACCAGGCCTTCCCTAAACCCTAAGCCTTGAACCTTACATCTCCAAACCCTAAGCCTTTAAACCTTAAACCCCAAATCGACTCTTAAATCGAAAATCCCTAAATACGTACGCCCTAAACCCTAAGTCTCTCAACCCTAAAACCCGAAACCCCAAATCGATCCTTAAGTCGTACATCCCGAAACCCTAAAGCCTAAACCCTAATCCCTAAACCCTAGATCCCCGACAAGGACCTATAAGATCCTCGGCTTGGCCTGCGCCTGAGACCCGAGAGCTCGCACTAATCTGCTTTGGGAGCAGGGTTTTAGAGTTTAGGGTTTAGGGTGTAAGGGTTTGGGGTTTAAG